ACATCTGTGTCTGTACATAAAAATGCTCACAAAGGATAACATATTATGTTTGCAGTATGAAGTTTACAAGTATATTTCCAATGTGTACAATACATACAAATCCTCTAATTTGTTCTTGGAAGTTGAAAAATATGAAAAACTCACTCTTATTTTAAGTTGTCTGAATGAAGTCCTCTGTATGTCTAGTAAATGCATGATACACAAATTTCGGTGTTTATGAGCACTTGCCTTTTGTTGTAAATAATAGTGTAGGGTAAATAATACCTTCTTTGGAAAAATCTAGAGGAACATGCGTCTATAACGGGTTAGAAAGCCGCCTATATCTAATGAGAAATTTGAGCTATGAACATTATTTAGATAGGTAAATCCACCATTTTTTGGATAGCATACAAGTGTTAAAATCAGTAATTTTCGAATATCGCAAACTTCAGAGGGCATGTAGAGGGGGGTTAGTGGGCTTTAAAAATTCTTAAGAAATACTATTATGACTTTTTAGACCTATTACATAATTTCAGGGGGTAGCACTAAAAGTTGGTAATTATCACCCCCCCCCCTTTAAATATTTAACTTGTAGGAGATTTGCAATAGGTAGGCACTGTGAGAACAAAGCTTTAAGCTGTTCAGTATTAAGTTGGTATATTGTTCACACAATGCAGCCGATTACAAAAATGGCTACACTGCCCTCAAAATATGAAACATATACTGCAAATTTAGTATAGCATTCAGAGTTCTATATATGCGGTAAAGAAAAGCACCATTTTCTAAGTTCGACAACATGAGGTACTTGTATAATCGTCTTACCTGCGTTATTGCTGTAGCCAGTATTTTTATTATTTTTTTCATCTTTTGGTACCCTTATGGCTAAAGTATTGTCGCGAAGTACTTTGGAATTACAGAAATTTTCGCCACAAGATGTCCAATCCTTGAGTAAACGCATATCCGCCTTTCTGGCTCCTTCGAGGCTCAGAACAGCTGTGTTACCGTAATCGGCACTTCCTATCACCTTTAAATCTATTATCAAATGAAGTCAAATTCATTTCAGTATATATTCCAATAAAGTACTAACATACAGTTAGTTAGTTAGCTAAAAACATGGCTGCACTTTAACAATTATTACTTAGCGTCACTTGTGTCACTTCAACCACTCTTCCTTTGCTGCCAGACTTTTATTTCATTTTTAACTTGCATTTTAGTTATTTTATTTTAAATTTATTTAAATACGTCTTTTAATATTCCTCTATTCTCACTAGTGATTTTATTCAACTACAATCAGGGGCGGATCCAGAGAAATTTTCTGAGAGTCTTACAAATTATTATTTTTGATCCATCCTCCGTTTTTGACCGTCTTCCGACAGAAAAAAATTAGATACCCGTCAATGTAAGCTTGAAAATCTGACCGTCTTCCGGAAGACCCAGAAGACGGCTTAAATCCGCCCCTGACAATCATAATAAAAATAAACCAAAAAATACCATTGCAACACAATACTCTGGTCCCCTTTTATTCACAAATAAATTTCCGGTAAATCTGCACACAAAGAAAGTATATACACGCAGAATGTCTTTTAATAAAAGACAAAATATATATAACTGATGAACATTTCATTCAGTCGTGTTTCATTATTAATAGAAATTTAAGTATTATTTGATATTTTCAGATGAAAATACATTTGTGCAATCTATTAATAATCATCATAAGTTTAAACATTCCATTTTCTATCCATAATGAAAAAGCAGGAACAAATCATTCGGTCACGCCGTGAGCTGCCTCAGTATGACTGTTAGACTAAACACTACTCATCAATGTATCAGTAATTTTATCACTCCATAACATCACGTGAGCTTCGCTTATTGATTTTCTAAATGTTTTGTTGGTGTCAAACGCTTTAAATGTCAGTATTTGTAATTATTATTTTCCTATAAATTAAAATTATCTCTTGATAACCATAATAATCAAGTAAAATTACATTATGTGTAATTGTGCTATGATGTCTTCACTTTATGCGAAATCGATCTTAAGTAGACGGTTCGAGGCCATAATCGTTTTTCTGGACACGCTAAAACCCCCGGCCCTTTACACTGGACGGCGCCCTTTCTTCGTCCTTTGTGCGACCAGGGGCTCGTTTCACGTAGCCGTCGTTTGTTCTCTCGCTTGTTATTGTGTCGTTGTTACCATACATATTTAAGGACTGGTCAGTCGCTAACTGTAGAATTTCATCGTACGCATGCGTAATGAATGGAATACAAATATTGCTTAGTTACCATTGCAATCGGTACCGTCAGCCGGCAATGTAGACTACAGTGTTTCATCAGAAGCAGAATCTGTTAGAATATACAGGGTATGAGCAATGATGCAGTTTAGGAAAAGTTGCGCCTGACTACACAGAAAAAGTGTCAAAAAGGATGGTAGCGATCCTTTACGACGACCTGAAAGCAGAAGTTCTTATGCGCATCCAGCCGCCAAAAATTGGAGGGGAAGACCCTATTCCCATAGATTTTAGATCGATCTATCCCTGTGGGGAGTCTCACTAGATTACTGTCAGCTTGGCCGGCTTAAGCGCCTGTCCCGCCCACTAAAAGCTGTAAGGGGGTAATGGTGCGCGCTTGGCTTACTGCAATTTAGCGTGAACCCCAAGGGTTTTAAGTCGATCTAAATCTAATTCTCTGGGAATGCACCCTTAGAGCATTTGTGACACTTACGCAAGAGTTCCATATCCGGTAGACTGTTTCGAGAGTACGTTGAGCAACGAGAGGTCTAGGGACCGAACTTTACGATTGAAGTTAGCGGTGGGTTAACGACAGCTTCGTGAAACGCCACTCGATTTTCGCCACTCGAAAATCGTTAACTAACAACAGTTTCCTGTAACTGGCCCCGGGTCGCCGTTTGACGAAAAAAAAAACGCATAGTCATCGCCAAGATCGCACAAAGAACGTTCAAGCATCGCCGAAGACGCCATGGTGGGAGTTTTGAACCTGTTCAAAACAATCGCCCAGAGAACGCGATCGAGGATGGACGTTGCAAGGTTGCTCAACGGACTCGAAGAGGACGCAAAAGTATCGCTGAGGTAGTGGAAAGTAGACACAAGTATCGCTTTGGTTGCAGAAAGAATGCTTAATGATCGGTCAGTTGTCGGCACGTAAAGAATTGTTTTACTCTCAAACGGGCCATGCTAGGATATTTTTACCAGAGATACATTGACGACATTTTTCTTATATGGACACACGTAGAAGATTACCTCAAAAAAGTTGCAGAACTTTTCAACAATGAAAACCCGTCGATACGCCCACTCTTAACTATTCCAACCAACAACAAAACTTTCTGGATACAACCGTCTCTATAAAACACAATAGACTGGCTACATGTGTATATCGGAAACCTACGGACCGCTCGGCCTACTTACATCACACCAACTTTCACCCTTCACACATCAAAAAATCCATTGTAGCCTATTTAGCCAGACCTTAAGATATAATAGAATCAACTCGGAACCCGAAAAGAAGAGTGAACAGCTTACAGATTTGCAAAAGCTTTTTGAAAGACGGCAGTATGACACACAAATGATCCAAGAAACCATGGCGCGGGATTTGCAGCATATATTTGACTCCGACACTATGCTTAAAGACATTTTTCCATCTCCACCTATCGTCTCTTTCAGACAGCCCCCTTATCTGAAAAAACTCCTGGTTAACAATAACAGCCTTGGCGTCACGGGCACATTTCCTTGCAACAACAGAAGGTGCCTTCTCTGCCCGTGCATCATTAACAACCCCATCATCACTCCGGGAGGCAAGACACTCATCCCTAGGGGAAAATACACTTGCGACTCTCAGAACGTCATCTACTGTACTTGATGAAATGTAAAAAATGCCATCAAATGTACGTCGGAGAAACAAGCCAGAAATTAAAAGACAGAATTAGACACCACCGCTGCACTGTAAACAACAAAAACCTCTTCGTACCAGTGGGACAGCACTTCAACACGCCGAACCACTCAGTTAATGACATCACTGTCACCGTCCTAAAAGGAAACTTAAATGACACTAGGCAAAGACGGATCGCCGAACAGAAATTTATAAGAACACTAGACACCTTGAATAATGGACTCAGTAGGGACAATAGTTTTTTAAATGAGTATTGATTTTTTTTTTGTTACGTAATTTTGACGTTGTTTACGTATAGCAGGCTTTTGGGCCATCGCATGTCTTCAACACATCACCGACGTCACGTACAGTATCCTAGGAGTTTGTTTTTTTACTTTTTGTTCAAAATCCCCGAAGAAGGCCCAGGGGCCGAAAGCTCGGATTGTATTTAACAACTATAATGAAGATCTTTCTAGGTGCATCAATATATATACTTCTATTATTACCAAGATCTATACGGTGAATCAACATGAATCCACATAATTCTCAATTAAAACTTTGACATAAACAATGTTTCAATTGTATTTTAAAAATACTTTAATTTATAGACATAGTATGGACATATTCTCTATGATATCAAGCGCACGTCCCTCCCCGTGGCTTCCTTCTCATGACATCATTCCAAATCAGAATACAGCTGAACTAATACTATTTCTTCCTGAAAAGCAGACTTCGACGGATGTTTGTCTACGTCGCCGTTTTTATCCACTTCCGGTCTGACATAACAGCCGAATTGGCGAGTAGCCCGGTCCAATCTAAGCCCACCAAATACCTCCACTCCCTTCTCATTTCTCTCGTTGGTACACACACACACACACACACACACACACACACACACACACACAAAAAAAAAAGGGTAGTATAATTATACCTTCATGAACTACAGGGTGTATTATTACAATTAGTTTTAGTCAGATTCGCTGTCTACAATTTGCTCTAGTTTTCCTAAATGCTAATACTGAATTCAATTGGCTAAACAAAATAGGGTTGAATTGACTTGTTTTAGTCAAATTTAAACCATTTCGAGAAAAAATAATGATGAAAAGTAGTAATTTGGCTAAACTAATAAATTATAATAAGTACTAGTATATACCTTTTCCTGTATTGCTTCTCACTAAATCTTCCAACACAGCAACCTTGCTTTGTAAAGGCCCATTTATGTTATTGCCTTTTTGGTACACATTGCTGAAATATTTAAAAAATACCATCAATTCCCATGTATAATTGTATAACTATACCAGTGTGTGTTCATGGAAATCTTCCACTTACTCCAGCATTTGATGTCATATCCATCTTCTTGGACCAAATGATTAAAAAGGAATATCCGTTTGACTGTTGCCTAACGCCCTCTTTGTCGGTTTCATCTTTTGTTAAATTTGTTTTTATGGTTGATGGAGAAAATTGAGAAGGCAAGGTACATGTGTCTCCGCCACATAATGAATGTATACATTATATGAAATTCAAACAAGCTGTGCACTGGAATGTAAGAAAAAGGAATGCACTATACAATGTTATCATTTCTAGTATATTACTTCTTATATGTCGCCTTTATTTAATCCAACTATAAAACGTGTTTTTTCGGTGCATGATAAGAACTGACATACCTAACTGGGCATGCATTTGCGTAGCGTTTACGCCGACTTCCTTTTTTCAGTGCCATGCAAACCATGCATCTCTTGTTTACTACGGCAACGTCATTTGTTAAGGATATTGGCTTATGGAACGCATCATGGTAAAACTCATAACTCCTACAACGGTACAAAATAAATCCTCAACAAAAATATATTCTTCGAAAGACTATGTCACAGCAAAGCTCTAAATGTTATATACAGTAGAGTGTACATACAGGTATATAGCAGATAAAATAATGTCCCGAGTGTACTATAAAGAACAGTGCAAAATCAGAGGCGAAGAAAATCTTCCTCCATGACGTCATTACAAAACACCATATCTAAACTTCGACATTTCTGCTGCCCCGCCCCCTCCATTATTAAATGCGCTGTCCCAACTAGCGTAAAAGAGGTTCATATGGACATTAGTGCGGTATTGTACAACTCAAACGCTGAACATTTTTGAGAATGCGCAACATTCTTTTCCTCCTTCCAACTGGAATAGATTCAATCGGTGCTGTAAAAGACCTACACTCTACTCTCCAACTGGTAAAAGCTGTGATGAATTTGTGAAATGGTATTTTATTTCTACCGCATATTACAAACCGTTGTGATACGTTATCCAAACGCTAACCAAGCGTAAGACATGCGGTAAACACGCTAATCGAACGTTACAGATACGTTCAATACGTTACTTGTCCGCGAACACTGCGTTGCTTATGCGCTTTGCAAGGGCCAGGCTATATATCACTCACCGTGTGAAAATATACTTTATAGCGATTTGAACGTCATGCCATCATATACCTGGTGCACCCGTAACGTAAGGGTAACATGCAACTCAAACGCTTGCATACTTACAAAACTTTTAGAACATGCTCAAAATTTTCTCTCTACGTTTGTGAACGCACACCAACGTTTAACTGCAAACGTATTCGAACGAATCCCTTTGTCTGCATACATGCAAATTTCTTCATACATGTACGTTGGAAAAATACGTCTTTTAAGCTACATGTGACAGGACCGCAAGGGATTTGTAAGCTATACAGTATTACATGTATACACTGTATCTGACTATTAAAGATATACAACGTAACATACCACCATGTTGTTCCCATTGCCACAATATTTAAGCTAATTGCTTTCTTCTTAGCAAGGACAAGTTTTAAGCCGCCTGTGATATGAAGATGTCCTGTTGCAAGTGCGCCCAACTCTTTCTCCATCTCAAAGTGTAGTTTCAGTTCAGGTTTGAGGCTATAAAGAATGGTATGATATAATAATAAAATAAAAGAAATCACTATAAACACCTGTATAATTAGAGGATCAGAGAGGCGATACTGAACTGGACTCTAAACCCCCTTTCTTATGAATGTGCTGAAAATATAGAAATATGATAAAAATAAGTAAAACACATATGGAAACGAGAGGAAACAGGTACTGCCTCGACACTGGTTGAAATCTTCAGAACAAATACATTCATTTATTTAAAAAAGTATAGACATCATGTAAATGTTATAGCCATAAAACAGTTTGTGAGAGGAAAGATACATGGCACGTACATGCGATGTCATAACTACACTTACTGAGAGTATATATATATTTTGCAAGTGAAGTGAAGCCAAAAGTCACCGAAAACTCGGCGTTTGCTTCAAAATTGGCTTCCAACCATAATGCAGCATTAACGGACACTTCCAATGTCACCGTCGAACCAAAAGGAAGAGGTATAAGAGAGAAGGAGATGATAGGAAAGGTTTTTTCCTTCCAGAGTAACATTTCTAGGTCCGCAGAGAATTCAACGGTAACCTAGAAATCCATCTGATAGTTGAGCTTAGCCTCCGCATCAAACCAAGGGAACAAAACACATCGGCTATCTGAATGCATGTTCACCTTAGCTGGATACATTCTTATACTGTGTACTCCATGACACCAAGAATCTCTCTTTGAATTTGATAAAAAAGTAGTAAACGTTTTCATATATCTACCTTTTTTTCAACTAATTAACTACTAGTTATATAATATTTTTGTAATCAATCTTGCATTTAGAAAAAAGACATCTTTTATGTACCACCAGCTGGAGTAAGCGCCTTCGTATGGAGAAAAAAATTCAGTGTTGTGCTTGACAAGCTTTACAAAATATATTTGACAAGGATTCTCAATTTTGGTTGAAAACTACAATTTATAACTAAAGCATGGGGATAAATAAAAGGTAAAATCCAAGAAAAAGTCAATTAGAAAATCAGACACGACAATACAGGAAGCTAAAATCACTTGATCAGAATAGGTATTAAAAACCTTCAGCGTTACCCTCAAATCATTCTTAAAATTTGATCAACTAACCTTGATCAGAGCCTTATAATACCGATTGAAATAAAGTGTACTTTATTTCGTGTCCTTTCTGAAACGTAAAAGTGATCTGGACCCAAATGCGTTGAATACCAGTTTGTCGATATACTATTTATGATAAATATAAGATTTCCAAAATATTATACAGAACAGGAACAAGGAAGACACTTTTTAGAAAAACCTACCTTATTTCCAATGGTGCGCTGAATGCAATACTGAAGAGGTCACCATAGCCCCAGGATATCCCCACGTCTATTTCAAACTAAAAAAAGCATTTAACACAAAAATATTCAATATTCGCATTTATAATGCTCAATACAAAACATAATTTTACAGCTGTAGGCCTATAGTATTTTATATACCTGTGAAAAGCCGGATTTTACAACAACATATCGTGTAAAACTTGCAACATTGTCTAAAATAAAGCTTTTGGCAACTGCGGATTCATAAATACAACATAAATACTTCATTGAAAGAAACAATAAATTCCATTAACTTAGTTCATACCAAGTTGAAATCGAAAATAATTGTCGCCCCACACCATATCGACACCATTTTACATCTTATTTTTATTACAACCAAGCCATGAGGGTTAGCACACCATTTTTGAATACCTTTGGATAGATAGACATATACCCTTCTGCATCTGCATTGAAGTTTATGGTAGATGGAAGCGGAGTAAACGGTCTCAGCACTGAACTGGACTCCAAACCCCTTTCCTTTGAATGTGCTGAAAATATAGAAATATGATAAAAATAAGTAAAACGCATATGAAAACTAGAGCAAACAGGTACCACCTCGACACTAGTTAAAATGTTCAGAACAAATACATTAATTTATTAAAAAAGCATAGACATCATGTAAATGTTATAGTCATAAAACAGTTTGTGAGAGGAAAGATACATGGCACGTACATGCGATGTCATAACTACACTTACTGAGAGTATATTTTGCAAGTGAAGTGAAGCCAAAAGTCACCGAAAACTCGGCGTTTGCTTCAAAATTGGCTTCCAACCATAATGCAGCATTAACGGACACTTCCAATGTCACCGTCGAACCAAAAGGAAGAGGTATAAGAGGGAAGGAGATGATAGGAAAGGTTTTTCCCTTCCAGAGTAACATTTCTAGGTCCGCAGAGAATTCACCGGTAACCTTGAATTCCATCTGATAGTTGAGCTTAGCCTCCGCATCAAACTAAGAGAACAAAACACATCGGCTATCTGAATGCATGTTCACCTTAGCTGGATACATTCTTATACTGTGTACTCCATGACACCAAGAATCTCTCTTTGAATTTGATAAAAAAGTAGTAAACGTTTTCGTATATCTACCTTTTTTCAACTATACTACCAGTTATATAATATTTTTGTAATCAATCTTGCATTTAGAAAAGAAAGACATCTTTTATGCAGTATCACATATAAATATCACAATATATTGGAATAACCGACTTCTCCTGATAATCTATTTCTTACCTGAAGCAAATAACGTTTGAAGCGGCCTCTTCTGGTACGAGGGTCCATATCAATTTCCAATTCACTGGAAGGTAATAAAGTAATCTATGCATGTGCCGACTTTACCTTGCAAACCTTTTATGTACACATGAAGACGTTTCTTGGTATGTATGCAAAAATACAGGTAAGAAAGATGTGGGTTATCTATTTATTCTTGATAAGTACGACAGAATACATTTCCTTGTCCTCCTCAGAATAGGGGACTAACTAGTCCGAGGGACAACATGGCGACCTACTACAAAGTTTGCCGTCTTATCCGCTAAAAGACACTGAATAGATAACCCTTAGGAAAGTACTGAAGTGGGTCGGACATATTTGACCCTTGGATTAGTTAGTCCTCTATTCTGAACGAGGCCCTTGTCATGTCGATGAATCAGTAGCTCGACATTCAACTGGCGCAGACGATATGTGTGTTACGCCTCTACCGTGACCAAAATCAAAATCTGAAGGGAGGTTTTAATGTTTGTCTGATAAACGGATTAAATCTCGGCTCCGAAGTTTAACTGCTAGCACCCTGAAGGGCTGGCGTATGTGGTAGGCGGGGAGACCGTTAAAGGACTTGCGACACGTTTAACTCCATTTCTCGAATTTAGTAGATTAAGCACTCAATCTGTACACTAAATATACGTTTGAATCGATTACCCTATAAGGACCCATTCAGATCGAGAATAGCCACGACCTAAATATGGCGGACCTACAAGAAAGGAAGACCACTTAATCCTGTAATGGTCTCTCTGCCTCTTACACGCTTCCCCATGCGTCGTCCCTCGACCGGTTGAATTGAGCCGAGATTTAATTACTGTGATCCTGCAGGGACGACGCGTGGGTAGCGTGTGAGAGGCAGAGAGACCATTACCGGATGAAGTGGTTTTCCTTTCATGTAGGTACGCCATATTTACAAGTAGGTTGCGGCCTAGCTAATGCTCTGCTCTTCTTGATCTGAATGGGGCTTTAGTAGTATAAAAACAATCTATAAGCGAAAAAAGCGTTTTAGTAAACCCCACCTCAATATGCAAACATGAAGGAACAGATCTGGGTACGTGGTACTGTGACGACATTGAAGCCAAATATCTTTGTTTCAGCTGAGCTACATAGTGAATACAGTGAAGATAGGGAAGGTCATGTTGAACAGAGCTGGGCAATTTTCGTAATGCCTTACCTTGAGCTTCCAATTTGTGTATTTTGATAAAGATATCCTTAGTTGGGCATGTTTTCTGAAGAATATTGTCCGTTCAAACTACATGTATTCCGACAGTCTGACGCGAACCCTTTAACAGATAAGCGGCACCACTTTTAGATGGGGTTGATCATATTTGATCCGCGGACCACCTATTCTGCGGATCATCTGTTCTGTTCTATTATGTCTAAGGTTAAGCACACAAATCGACATTTTAGGCTGGAGTCATTGTTTCCTTCACGGGGCCGATTGATCTTTTTCTGCACCTTGGTAACCTCTGACCATTCACCACTTATGTGTTTGCCATCTCTGTTAAACATAGGCTTGGTGATCGAACCCAACAACCTGTTCAGTTAGATGGGCAATTCGTGTTGTACAATACACGTGTCAACATCAAAATATAATACGGTTACCCTTTTCTTATAACAGGAGGTACATAGACTAGTACACCCAGGCCAGGGAAGTGATATATATATATATATATATATATATATATATATATATATATATATATATATATCCAATAATTACTTGATTAGCCCTTATATGTTTATATTATAATTGTCTAAAAAGTAAAGATGATACTTACAAAGTAAACGAACTGTCGAAATATGCATAACAAGATATACAGTTAAGTTCAGTTGCAACTTCACCATTCATATGCCAGTTTTTCCCTGGGGATTCATGCGACTTGTCTACATCAAGAAGCGTGCTTTCGCTTTCAAAGGATAAGTCTTTCTCACGGCTCACTTTGGCTTCAAATTTCCCGCTAGCCTTATTCGACGACGGATCATAATTAAAGTCACTTCCTACGCCCCCTTGATGAACTCCCCAGTGAATCGGCGTCAATTTTTCTGTCAAAGTGTCCTTAGCATATTTGACTGGGTCAGTAAACGCATCCCACCAATTTCTCCGCTTCTGGCGATGGTGTGAGCCGTTTGTCATTTTTCCCGGTTCGTGTCGATAGAATACCTTTGCATGTTGAAACATATCTACAAAACTAAAAATGACAAAATTTTGTCATTTTTATCATAAATCTTGTAGCATTGGACAGTTTTTTTAAAGTCCTCATAGAATTAAAAACCAACATGACTTCTGTTTCGTAATCTTTGAATTTAATAAAGATCAAGCAAATAACCATCAGTATTTTTTTCTGTACAGTGTATATCATTGAGTGAATTGGTAAACACTTTCTTAATAATCTAACAGTACTGGCGGTACATTATGTGTTCCGTCTATATTAATGATGTTAATCTTCCACTATTTAAGACTTGAATATTTCCCCGAGCCAAGTAAATACTGTATGTAAAAACGATAAAGAAAAAATTAAAAGGATGAGATGAAGGGGATGTTTTACCTAAATACCAAATTAACAACAAAAAGACATTAGCATATATGTTTCTTGATGCGGGGTCCCTTAAACGTTTGCGATGATAAGTCTTTTTTCACAAATCTTATTACATTACGCACTGATCCCGAACATTCGCGTCTTCAAAGGGAAGACCGAACACATTTGGCAACAACTAAACTGGGTTTTAGGGTCAAAAGATAGTATGCCAGTATTCAGCTCTGTGTGAAAGGGTACTGAATACACTGCTTGCAGTTGTTATCGCCGAAGGTATGTTATGCCATAAAGACGTTATCAAAAATACCGAAAATACATGAGTACATGTATGTTTATTCTAAGGTAATGTGAATTTGGTATGGTACAATTCATTATTAATGTGCTTTTAGTTATGGTATTTACAGCCTGTACTTGTCATTAGTTATGACATTAGTTTTGGCCTTAGTTGAACCTAAAACACTTACTTTGCAATAGAAGTTGATAGTTCAACTTTTTTTTCGGACCGAATCTTTATACTGTCTATTTTACGGTGTATCCCTGCAACGCTGTGTGGGGGTGGGCTAAGATAACACCCCCACTTACTGCTACCCATCACGATGTCACCAGGAGACCAAGTGGACGCCAGGCTGCTGTGGTTTACGATTACTAGGATGTTCGGGCCCTTGCACAGAACGCGCTGCAACAGTTCAATTATTGAATAAGATAAACATTTGAACATATACATATTTGAATATCATTATTATGATTGGTTGCGTTTTATATTTACACTTACATTTAAGTTTATTTTAGCTACTTGTTTTATATTTCAGCATAAACACCAAATCGTAAGCTCGTTTATCATTTCCCAAAGCTTATTTTAAAAGTGGACACATAAATAATGTAGATGTATGTATATAACATGAGAAACATTGTGGAATAATGCTCATTGGGGAGTATTACTGCTCTCAACCATGCGAAAGGCAGTGTCGTTTGAGAAGTTTTTTTTTCATATTGCCAAGAAAAGATAACTCTATAACCAACATGCAATCCCGTTAGTACTAAGTAATATACATTGTAGGGGAGACCGGGTCTAGTTGGGCCGGGGTAAGTTGGCCCCCATCAATTTATGAAAAGGTAACTACAGGGTAAAAAAAATTGGTCACACCATTTAGTAAAATGACCGTAGCCTACAATGCTGAGGAAGTATCGGACGTCATAAGTTTTACTTAGGCGGTGAGGCCAAATAAACGATTTTTGCACCCAAAAGTAATTTTGTTTAAGAGCTTTAAAAATATATTTTTATAGGCTTTTGATCGATTAAAGTATACGTATAGAGCATCAGACTAAAGCTAATTGTTTCAAAATTTGCTTAAATGTATTAACGTAGTCCATTCTTGCATCATAAACGACTGCAATCTTCAATTCTAAAAAATTGTGTACCTTGGCTCGGGGCGAGTTGGACCCCCATATTACCCACAAACCTTTGCGCGAACGAAGATACTGACCATTGTTGAAACAAATAATTACCGATTTAAAACTGAATTTGTTAGTTTCTTTTAAAACGAAAATGTATTATTCGTTTTAATTCAAAAACCTGCTTTATACCATTACTAATTTATTCTCAATTAAAACAAAACACATTTTATTGATAGATATTTTTGGGTTCTTGCAACACATACAACGTGACGGACGGAAACCTCAATAAGTCTGCCTCGTTTGA